TGAGAATCTATACCAAACATGCTCCAAATACTAATATTGTACTGAGATTATTTCTCACACGTGAAATCTATCCCACACGTGCAATCAAATAGTAAGATTCTAAACCCGCTGTAAGGAATGAGGAATCTGATTCAAAGAAGCACTTCAAACCCTTTAGAAATTCAAACCCAATATTTTCCCGTTCTTCAATAAAGAGTATAATTATTCCAGATTAAAGATAAAGCAGGCTGGAAAGATGGAAATTTGCACATACCGTTAGGTATACGTACAGATTATAGTGTGGAAATTGAAAGGTTTATGTGCCTGGATTTGGTGCGCAATTCAGATCTGAATTAGCGAAGGTAAGGCTGCGTGTTATCTATATGTGTGTGTATTATTGTTTTCATCAATTTTTGATGATGTGTTAATTACTTGTCCGTGTGTTCGAGCGTATTTGGCAACTGGTTGTTTGTTGGAAGTAAATATAATACTGCAATCAATCTGTGGCTGATGCTTATTCTATTGTTTGCCCTAATTAATGAGCATTGAATTGAAATTTTAAAGTGTATGTTTATGTTAGGGTTTTTATTTTTTGGTTTTTGAGAAGTGTTCAATAGCTTAGCACCATCCCAGAGGTTCAATGCTTATTTGAAATATTCAGCACCTATACTTCAGAATAACTAGAGTATTTGAAATGGAAGCATTTTACATCAAGCAGAATAAATGCACGTGTTGTAGATTTCTATAAGCTAGAGGTGCTCGTGTAAAAGGTTACTTTTTTAAATGCACGGTGATTTTAAGACAAAGGAAGTGAGGAGTTTTTCCTTATATGAAGCCAATAACGATGAGTCGATGACAAGCATGTTTTGATGGAGACATTAAGTATAGCATGTGAGCTTTTGAGTGCTTTACGCCCACATTTTGACACGAGATAGTCTGCTGGAAAGAGTTGAACTTCTTTGAACTTAAGTATTCTTTATGCAAAAAAGCTTCAAAATATGCATAGTTCATTATTTCTATAGGAATTTTTTTTTTTTTTTTATTGTAATGAGAAAGGAAATAAAATGGGGTGGGTGGGGGGTTTGATTATATGCTCTTCGATATTACAATGCGTGGTTGAATACTGAGCGAAGAGACAGTTACGATCTCTTATGTCATAATTTTCTTAAAAATGATCTGTTCTGAATATTTTTGTTTTCCTATATGATATCTTATGAGTGTTCAGAGGCAAATACTCCTCTGTCCCATCCCTTTGGAAGTCAACACATATTTTCTTTCTTTTCTTATCGTGTGCTACTGAATGCTATTTGTCACACATTGAAAACATATTGATGTACTTTTTGTCCAAGATGAACGTTAGACAGTCTAGAAACCAGAATTGGTTGAAAAAATGACGACAACTCAAGGAAAAGATTTCCAGTTTATGATTAAATTGTTGGTATTGGATTTTTGGTTTCTGTTTGACGTGTTGGACGAGTACTGGCTCACTTGGTCCATGAATTTGTTAAACAAAATGATGGTTTTGTGTTGTATCTGCATCACACCACTGAGTTCACACTTATCTTTGTGAAGAATTGAGATAAATTTATAATTTCTGTGACATTTATGCATAGATAACCCAAATTATCCAAATATTACCAAATTATGTTGCTGAAAACTTGGACCTACGTTATCAATGCATAGTATTTTCAATCTCATGTGCTAAAGGCATCAATTTGTTTCTGCCCGCTATCTGGAAGCCTGATGTCTCATTATGTCTAGCTCATGGTTTAAAGTATCCCAATTGAGGCCCGCCTCAAAGTGAGGTGAAAAAGAAACGTTTCAAGGCAATGACTGTGAGGCATCATTTGGAGGCGTACACCTCAGTTGAACGAGGCACATACCTCACTACACCATCCAAGACTCGTGAGGCATGCGCTTCTTAATTCTCCATGGTTATTTACTTTCCTTTAGGTATGGGCTCACAAAACATTAAAAATTCTGATCGATCCACTTTGAGAATAATATCCCATTGCCCTACTAAAACATGAAAAATTTGTGTTTCTCATAGACTCACTTTGAGAATAATTACTCATCCACCAGCTAAAATAATAGTTTATTTTTTGTTACTTCATAGTTTTTTTTCTTTTGTTTGTTTGCACACTTTAAATTGTTTAAGAATTTTGAATATTGTTCATGATTTATTATGTGCTTATTTTGCATGTTTCTGATTATTTTGAATGCAGATTTTTGTGTAACTTCCTTGACTGAAACAATAAAAAATTTTAAAATTGTCAACCAAAATATTAATACTCAAGATTTAAAATTTGGGTATGAAATATAAAACTGTATAAGTTCCACATACTCAGCCAAAATGTACATAGCTGTTCCAGCTAAAATACTTGGAATAATTCTACCACTTCTACTAGGAGTAGCCTTTTAGTTCTAGCCGAAGCTTCATTGAAGTAATGGATCTCCCCATTCAGCCCCCTGCAAGTGGGCACTCAATACTTGATTTCCTTCTGTCAGCATCTTCAAATGGTTTTCAAATTTCTATCTTTGAATCGCTGTAGGATGATGGTTGCAGATTTAAATTTTATCTATAAATAAGACGCATATGTTCACATGTGCTCTTACTTCTGCATTGCTTGCAGTATCCGAAATCAGCAACATATTTATAAGTTCTTCCATAGAACAATTTACATTTCAGGTCTATACATTGAAGAATGGAAGATGGAATATCAAGCTTTTGGGGGCCAGTCACATCTACGCATGAGTGGTGTGAGCCAAACTATGTTCATTCTTCCTATATTGCCGAATTTTTCAATACCATCTCAAATGTCCCGTGCATTATTTTGGCACTGATTGGTCTTATGAATTCTTTGAGACAACATTTTGAGAAAAGGTTTAGTGTCCTTCACATATCAAATATGATTCTAGCCATTGGCAGCATGCTATATCATGCCACGTTGCAGCGGCTGTAAGTTCTTTTATTTTTTTGTCAATCTGGCTTATGTATTGAAATGGTTGTGAAAGGCTGTAAGCTATATAGAGGGGTTGGTGGACATTTTTCTTACATTATGAGTTTTAGAAAAATTGTGCCAAATGGGTGCCGATTTACCATTTTAAGTGTTTGAGCTTTCAAAGAATGAACACACTGCACCCATAAATTCAAAAGTAAAGAAACACATTAAAAGACAAAGAAGCCACTTCGATAACTTCTTGAAACCATTATTATATTGAGAAACCATAGTGGGATACTATTCCATGGAACTCAAGCATTTTATAGCAGAAAATTCTCACTAGAACTTACGTTAAACTAATGCTAATTTTCCTTATTTGGAACAAGTTGATAGCATAAAGTATCTCATGTCTTTGCGTGTTTGGGAATGATGCATTGGAATGGGCTTCTGCTCGTTCAGTAGCTCCAAGTAGAAGAAAAGATCGTTTTGTTTTCCTGCTGTTGAATTGTATTTTTGTTTTAAAATATATTTGTTTCATTGATACATGCTGGTTCCAATTAACTAGATGAGAAGTAATATATTTTGATGTTTATAATTATCTTTGACAAAATGTAAAATAATTTTCAGGCAACAGCAAGGTGATGAAACACCTATGGTGTGGGAAATGCTTCTTTATATCTACATCCTCTATTCACCGGATTGGCATTATCGAAGTACAATGCCAACCTTTTTGTTCCTTTATGGTGCACTATTTGCCATAGCACATTCACAGCTGCACTTCGATATTGGTTTTAAGGTGCACTACGCGCTGCTTTGTCTTCTTTGCATTCCTCGGATGTACAAATATTACATTCACACAGAAGATAAATTAGCTAAGCGGCTTGCAAAGTTGTATATCGCCACTCTGTTGTTTGGGAGTCTCTGCTGGTTAGTTGACCATTTGTTCTGCAAGAACATTTCACACTGGTACTTCAATCCGCAGGGTCATGCTCTATGGCATGTTTTTATGGGTTTCAATTCGTACTTTGCAAATGCATTCCTGATGTACTGTCGTGCTCAACAACGGGGGTGGAATCCGAAAATTAAGCACTTTTTGGGATTTTTTCCCTACGTGAAGATTCAAAAACCAAAGGCCCAGTAGAACTCAGTGCTCAACAAAATGGAGCTTCATAGGTGCTCCTTTTATGTCTTTTGTTGGCATTTTGCAAGTGGTCACGATTCATTTTTTTTCAAAAATGCAATGTAAATGATAACTGGGAATCGTTTTGTTTGTTTAAATTTCGACTGCAAAGTTAGTTTTTTTTTTTTT